TGGTGTAGTTGTTGTCTGTATGCTGTCATGTTTGTTTCGAGTCTTGTGATTGCATAATAAGTGCGGATGATAAACTCGTTCATTTCTGTTGTCCATTTCATCCATTGGCGTGGTTTTCCAGCCTTTGTGGTCTGTGGATGCATTGCCACATAAACACCAAGGCTAGGTTGATTCCTCACATATGTTGAGGGCATTGCAGTAGCCACCGGTAACCAAGGGAGACTGCGGCCTATTTTTCGAACGTGAGCCTCTGCCTAACCCACGAACGCAAACCTTATTAACCTGGGCAATGTCTGAGCCGGCATCACACTTTGATCTGGTTACTACCATAATAATTATCTCCACAGAATGTGGGTGTGGTCACTCTTAGCTTCATTTCTCCCCATAGACCTTACTGGCATGGGTGTCCCTACCAGGAGCTTGTGCTCCAGCCTGCATTGCTCTATGGTTCAGTAAAATTACTGGGCTCTTCCACCACGACCAGGTGGTGACCACGGGAGAGTTATTATTATCAAACACTACTGAAACTTAAACTTATACTAACTACATAATTGTTTCAAATTACTGTATATTATCTACTAATTTAAGAACAATATTAGGTTGGATTGTTTAATAAATATTTAGAATAAAAAAAACTAAATACAGTAGAGCGTCGTTTATCCAAATCAATTGGGACTGGGATTGTTTGGTAAATCGATATTTCGGATAACCGATTATGTACAAAAATATATATTAACCTATCTCGTGTTGCTTTGCGTTGAATTTTCGTCGATGTTAAGCCTAACGAAGACTATTGTATCGTTAAAAATTATTTTTCTATTTTGTACAAACAAAATAAATATATTGAAAAATATAAAAACAATAAAAAAAATTATACTTCAGAAGTTAATTTAGTGTGAAAAATGTAAAATATTTGAGTATCCCAAGATATAGCCAAAAATTGCAGCGCAACAGCGCTGGCGAAAATTTAAATTTGTTGACTGGAATTCTTTCGGATAACCGACGCTCTACTGTATATTTGTATTATATTTCACTGTTTTATTCAGCTGGATGAGCTTGTTTATCTTTAATTAGTTCATTGTCTCTTGGTGTAATTTTAGATAATTTAACACGTATTGTTTTTCGATGTTGGGTAATACTCTACACTTGGAACTTTTTACAGCTACTGCAAAACAGTTATTCACAAAGATAAAAGGTAGCGAACGGAATCAAAGCACGGAAAGCTTTCTTGCTGATAACTGAATATTCATCTTTAATATTATACCGAAATTAGCACGGTTTGAGATTGGAATATTGATTTCAACGTTGAATCAGAAAGAATGTTAAAGTCCTGCACTGCTTTTTCTTTCTTTGAGATCTGGGAGTGTACTCCTTAAAAGGGTCGCTAACACACTCCTATAATTTGTTTGATTTCATCTTTAGAGATGTATTTTTCATATATAGCTGTAATGTGGACAAGTACTTCGTAATAACAGTATTCACCTATTTTTCTATTTTATTGTTTACGTAGAAATTGATTCAAACAAGAAAACATGGTATAATGTTTTTTTATAATTTTTTCTTTATTATTTTTTACAGGGTCAGCTTTTTAAAGCGTTCAACCTTGCTTGAAAACTAAAAAGTATTTGAGCAAATCCAAAACATATTTTTGTGAGTGTCTGTTGCCTTGTCGAACTAGAGAGCAACCTCTTTGTCCTTCAAACTGTATATTCAAACTATAGAATCAGTAGGATAGACGATGTATCTACAGATATTAGCGATCAGCTAGATGGCTAATGTTTGTAGATATATCGTACATTCTACTGATTCTATTATTAGAAAAAGGTATTTTGAGAAGTTGATTACCAGCTTTCTCTCACAGTATAATTTCGGCCATATCTATACCAGCAAGCGAAATTAACTGCCTTGCAATTGTGTGAGGCTTCTTACTTCGGACGATTACGTAAGCCATTTTAAAAGTAGCCAGAAGACCATTACTGTCAATTGTACAATGCTTATAAACTTTTTTTGGTCCATTTAGTTTCCGTTAATTTTCTTACAAAAATTCCCTTGGTTTCTCAACTAAATTTGGACGAAGAGTTTTGATGTACCGTTTAAATTTACTAGGTAGCAATAATTAGCGAATGTTCTCCCTAACTCAAGATCGATGATTTGGCTCACAGCATGTAATAAACAGAAAAGGCTTCGAGGTGTTTAGAAAAGTTTAGGCCCGAATCGTTTCACATTCTTTAATATTAATCTAATTAATGATTTTTCTGATAGGAAATATAAGATAATAAATGACAGCAAAATTAACACTATCCCCGAAAAACTCATTTATGTAGAAAAAAAATAAGCCTATTCGAAAGTTATCATTTTATCATTTCTATCCACTGAGTAGGAGCGAGAGAATAACCTCGACGCGGCGCCATTGTCAAAGTTCGTATTATTTGGCAACCAAAGAATAAGAACCATTGCATTAGAGAAAATAACTCTGTAATTGCTAGTATTATTTAATTGTACAACTACATACATATATGTAATTGTACAATTATATGTACACAATAATGTATAAAAATGCAGAAATAAATAATAGATATTCAGTTGACTAGAATATTCCAAGAAAAATTAATATTTTTATTATTGAATCACTCGTAATTTCATTCATTTATATTTCACACGAATACACTTAATTCATGTATATTGTATTTCTTGCATAACTTCAAACGGAACGTTCAACGATTTTACCAGGTTATTTCTGAAAATGTACACTACTGTATGCGTGCAAATTGAAAACTCCTCGCAGCACAGAAGTAAAATAGTAAAATTGTATTTTGATAAAAGATTTAATCAAACCTCATACTATTATACGAATACAAGTAAATATTCCTTCATGCATAAACTAATAATTAAATTGTTGTTATTAAAAATACGCAAATACTAAAGTAAAAATTTTATCGATATATTTTTAATAACCTGTGTTGTGTTCAATTCATTATTAGTTCGATTATGCTTCTCTTATATATATAAACAGAATTATAAATTATATTATTCAGAAAAAGCAGATTAAATAATTGACCATTAGAAAAACTACTGTTATCGACATTCCGGAAAAATTTTTGTTTCGATACAGAAATTGTCGAAATTCCGTCTAAATGGACTTTTCTCATACGTCATTTCAATTTTGACAGATATTTCCGTTGCTTTTAATGGATTAATGAATTATGGATATTCAACATCATCACAAATGAAAACTAAAGTTTTAAATTCAAAAGGAAACTATAAAAACTAAATTTTTATTGCATTTTTCAGCTTAATTATCCTCTCGTTAATTGAGAATTTAGTTAACTATAGTTAGATGTTACTGTCTGGTCGAAAAATAATTTCAGAAATATGATTTTCACCAAAGCTGATAATTCAGACAGTCGTTCTTCCATCCGTACGTCCGTTTGTTTGATCGCCTGTCTTCGCTTAATGAGGAAAACGTTGTTACATAAATGACCGCCAAGGACACAGCTTAGAGACAGGATGCCCCACTTAAGTATATAAAACGACCGACACAGTCCGGCAATCAATTTAATGCAGTATACTGTTATCGCTCATCCACAAATATAATAAAATAGACAAATTAATTAATGCATATCGAAACGCTTAATTATAAGTTATGCTACATAAATTGCTTAAAAATTAATATTACATTTTGATACAGGACTGTACAAAAGTGCAGAAAGCAACAGTAAACTAAATAATACGATAAACACAAAAAAGTGAACCGAGAGATATACACAAGTAAATGAAAAAGATAAAATCTTGTTTGTTTATAAATATCCAAGGCGTTTGTAGCATTATAATGCTTTTCACATATATCTGAACTTAAAACTTATGGTTCAATATAAAAAAGTAGAATATATAAAAGTATATTCAACCTTGCTTGAAAACTAAAAAGTATTTGAGCAAATCCAAAACATATTTTTGTGAGTGTCTGTTGCCTTGTCGAACTAGAGAGCAACCTCTTTTGCTGATGAAAATGTTTAAATAATTCGATAATACTAAGTTCAGCTGTCTCTGCTGTAACTACATGCCCGGGCTATCCACCTATCTAAACCAATTGTCGTTTCGTTTCGTTTACGTCAGCCGTTATGCTCAACTCCATTTTCTGATCCCATCGCAAAGTTTCAACTTTTATCTAACTATTACAGATATGTTTTTTAACCGTGTCAAGCGACTCATCGGCGTAATATTTGAGACAAAGTTCCCTCATTCCAGACAAGACAAAATCTCAAAAGCAGATAATTTTAACCAGTGACTTTAATTTATCCAACACCTTAACCGATTAAATTTAATCCGACATTATTTTATTATTACAGTAAGGCTTCGATTATCCGAATCAATTGGGACTGGGGTTGTTCGAATAACTGGTATTTCGGATAACCGATTATATAAAAAAAATAGTTTAACGTATCCGATGTTGACATTTTTGTTCGTTGCGTGTCGCTTCGCGTTGACTTTTCGTAGATGTTAAGCCTAACGAAGACTATTGTAACGTTAAAAATTATTTTTTTATTTTGTACAAAGAAAATAAATGTATTAAAAAATATAAAAACAATAAAAAATTATACTACAGAAGTTAATTTAGTATCAAAAACGTAAAATATTTGAGTAGCCCAAGATATTCGCTATTAGCGCAAGATATTAACTATAGAGGGCGCTGTATTTTTACAAAATGGCTACTCTATCTGGGTCGTTTGTTAGTCGTCAGTGTAAAATGAATTATATATTACTATCTGATGTAATGAAATATGCTACTTGTAGCAGTTCATCGAGAAATTTTATAGAAGGAGAACAAGTATTACTAGCAGGACACGTCATTTTATGTGGTATTGTCGAGAAAAACGAGCAAGATCGTGCTGTACATTTTTGTGCTCTTTGTCTGCAAACATCAGCATTGACTTCTATCCCACACAAAATTACTGGAATTTTAAAGTTTATCGACATATCATATAAAATTGACAGCGTAACTTGTTCCTGTAAAGCTGGACAATCGGGAAAATGCAAACATTGCTTGGCAGTATTACTCTATCTTAACAGGTAAGTTTGTTTTTTTCTACAACACGATACGTATTTTAGTGTAATATAAGTAGCTAATTAGTATTGAAGGTTAATTAATTAGGTTTTTTTAAGATTTAATAATGTTTATATTTACTTCTAGATTCAATATATCTTAATCTAGTAATTCTTTACGTTTTAGTTATTATACTACATTCTTTCCACTTGCTTTTTTATTGTTTTACCTCATTTTTGTAACAATAAATAAATAACTAAAATTATGATGAATTTATTTAATTATAGAAATTAATATATGAAAAAAGTTTGGGTAGTTGCTTAATTAATAATGAATTATCATTATCTTTAGAAATAACATAGAAGGACTTGAGAAATTATCTAAGACAGACTTGGAATGTTCTTGGAACAGATTAAAAGAAAATGTCCATTCTAATTACGAAATAATACCAATAAAGAAATTTTGCCATACTGGATCTAATATTAGCAGACTAGCTTTAAATATTGATCCCGAAAAATGCTTAAACATTTTAACAGAAGTTACACCAAATTCTTCACTAACAAAACATATGTAAGTTTTATCTGTTTTAAATTATATGAAATGATTGGTATAATATATTAAGTTTATTATTATTATTATTATAGGAAAGGACGGAAAAGCCTTGCATCATTATCAGAAATAAAGAGAGATATCAACAGAGTTAANGCTGTATTTTTACAAAATGGCTACTCTATCTGGGTCGTTTGTTAGTCGTCAGTGTAAAATGAATTATATATTACTATCTGATGTAATGAAATATGCTACTTGTAGCAGTTCATCGAGAAATTTTATAGAAGGAGAACAAGTATTACTAGCAGGACACGTCATTTTATGTGGTATTGTCGAGAAAAACGAGCAAGATCGTTCTGTACATTTTTGTGCTCTTTATCTGCAAACATCAGCATTGACTTCTATCCCACACAAAATTACTGGAATTTTAAAGTTTATCGACATATCATATAAAATTGACAGCGTAACTTGTTCCTTTAAAGCTGGACAATCGGGAAAATGCAAACATTGCTTTGCTGTATTACTGTATTCTAACAGGTAAGCTTGTTTTTCTTTTCTACGACACGATACGTATTTTAGTGTAATATAAGTAGCTAATTAGTATTGAAGATTAATTAATTAGGTTTTTTTAATGGTTAAAGTCCAGATACGTATACTGTCATACGGCTCATCTTTGATTCCAGCAAACCAAAGAAAGGAAACAGTGGGGACGCACGTTCTAACGTAACCTAACCTATTCTAATAAAGTACCATAATTATTACCAANCATCAGCATTGACTTCTATCCCACACAAAATTACTGGAATTTTAAAGTTTATCGACATATCATATAAAATTGACAGCGTAACTTGTTCCTGTAAAGCTGGACAATCGGGAAAATGCAAACATTGCTTGGCAGTATTACTCTATCTTAACAGGTAAGTTTGTTTTTTTCTACAACACGATACGTATTTTAGTGTAATATAAGTAGCTAATTAGTATTGAAGGTTAATTAATTAGGTTTTTTTAAGATTTAATAATGTTTATATTTACTTCTAGATTCAATATATCTTAATCTAGTAATTCTTTACGTTTTAGTTATTATACTACATTCTTTCCACTTGCTTTTTTATTGTTTTACCTCATTTTTGTAACAATAAATAAATAACTAAAATTATGATGAATTTATTTAATTATAGAAATTAATATATGAAAAAAGTTTGGGTAGTTGCTTAATTAATAATGAATTATCATTATCTTTAGAAATAACATAGAAGGACTTGAGAAATTATCTAAGACAGACTTGGAATGTTCTTGGAACAGATTAAAAGAAAATGTCCATTCTAATTACGAAATAATACCAATAAAGAAATTTTGCCATACTGGATCTAATATTAGCAGACTAGCTTTAAATATTGATCCCGAAAAATGCTTAAACATTTTAACAGAAGTTACACCAAATTCTTCACTAACAAAACATATGTAAGTTTTATCTGTTTTAAATTATATGAAATGATTGGTATAATATATTAAGTTTATTATTATTATTATTATAGGAAAGGACGGAAAAGCCTTGCATCATTATCAGAAATAAAGAGAGATATCAACAGAGTTAATCAGAATAATGATGTCAATGTCAATGCTATTTTCTCCCACATTCAAAATTTTAGTTCAATTGGAATTTTTAATTATAATAAATTGTATTATACAAGTGTTATAAAAAAAGAATTAATATTAACTTTTAAAGATATTGGTTTAGAAGATTTGCCAAAAAGTTTGATTTGTTATTATAAAAATAAAGTTATGGTCACCAATGAAGAATGTAAGAGAATTTGTGTGAAAAGCAAAGTAAATAAAATATTATGGAAGAACGAGAGGAACAAAAGAATTACAGGCAGTATATGCTATAAATTTTATACATAGCATTTCAATTGTAATTCGAATTGGAATGAAAAATTTCAAAATGCAATATTTTTGGGGGTAATGAAAATACAGCATATGGCCTCTTGCATGAAAATGATGCAAGAGAATTGTATTCTTCACATTCTGGCAAGAAAATTATAGAATTTGGCCTGATTATTTCACCAGCTTTGCCATGGTTAGGATATACTCCTGATGGAATAATAATAAAACAAAATATTCCAACTTCTCTTTTACAAATAAAGTGTCCAGTAAAGGAAAGGAATGAACCTATCCAAGCCTTAATTCAGAAGAATGCATTGAAATTTATTACCATTAATGGTGAAAATGTTGAATTAAGAAATAGACATAAATATTATGGTCAGGTTCAGCTAGGGTTACCAATAACTAATTTGCCAGTGTGTAATTTTGTTATACAGTATATTCATTATTTAATAATTCATTTATTTCTTTTGAAGTAGAAAAAGATGATGAATTTTTAAGTAAATTTATTTNAGCGCAATATTTTTGGGGGGAATGAAAATACAGCATATGGCCTCTTGCATGAAAATGATGCAAGAGAATTGTATTCTTCACATTCTGGCAAGAGAATTGTAGAATTTGGCCTGATTATTTCACCAGCTTTGCCATGGTTAGGATATACTCCTGATGGAATAATAATAAAACAAAATATTCCAACTTCTCTTTTAGAAATAAAGTGCCCAGTAAAGGGAAGGAATGAACCTATTCAAGCCTTAATTCAAAAGAATGCATTGAAATTTATTACAATTAATGGTGAAAATGTTGAATTAAGAAAGAGACATAAATATTATGGTCAGGTTCAGCTAGGGTTACTAATAACTAATTTGCCAGTGTGTGATTTTGTTATATATTCATCATTTGATAATTCATTTATTTCTTTTGAAGTAAAAAAAGATGATGAATTTTTAAATAAATTTATTTCAATATTAAAAGAAGTATATTTTAATAAAATGCTTCCATTTTTAGTTAATGAAAGTAATGAGTAGATTAAAAGTATATAAACATTTAAAAAGTTTTTTCTTTTCTAATACATAATGCTTGTTTAACATGGATGTTCTAATTGAAAGATTATCTTGTAAATATCTTATTAAATGAAAATTGTAAAAAAATCTTGTGTATGAATATCTTATTAAATGACAACTGTAAAAATCTTGTGTGTGATAATGTATTAAAAATATAAACAATTACACAATTATTAAAATAATTTTTATTTACAATATGGTAATTTTGAATTAAAATTTGTCATCTGACAGTATAGGAGAAGAAAGATTCCCTACAGCTGTTGCAATAATTAAAAGTTCATCAATAACAGAAGTCATTTTCCAGGGAAGTCTTGCTGAAAATATCTTAAACTGTTTAATTCGCTGAATAAATCTGTCAACGTGCACTCTGGCACATGCAATATCCTTTGTTCTCAGTGCTTCACATTTATTTAGTTGTTTATTTTTTTTCAAAAATGGTGGTTGAATTACTTCTATTCCTTTTTCTAAACAAAGTTTATCAATTAAAAAGCCTTTATCAACCATCACTGAGTCACTATAAGGTGTTAATAAATTTAAGATATCACTCTGTTCAAAGATTGCCTTATCAGAAGTTCTACCTCCATATGCACTACTTTAAAATGTTGCAATTCCACCTGGTGAAACACCTATTAAAAATTTTATAGTTGTGTCACCTTTANTTTAAGATATCACTCTGTTCAAAGATTGCCTTATCAGAAGTTCTGCCTCCATATGCACTACTTAAAAATGTTGCAATTCCACCTGGTGAAACACCTATTAAAAATTTTATAGTTGTGTCACCTTTATAGTGTGAGTAGCAACGTATTCGACACTTTAAACACTTTGGTCTCTGCACTGTAATTTCTGAGCAGTCCAAAATTACTTCTACATTATGAAACTTGTCGAAAAATTTAGGCATATTTTCTCAAATATTTGTTTTTGATGGCCAAACAATTGCACACTTAAGTACGGAAGCAAGAATTTTCACACGGGTAAAATATTCTACTTTCAGTTGGTACAGAACAATGAAAAAATATAGATATAACAGAAAAAGAAATATTTAATTTCATTTTGATTAGGACCATAAAAAGTTTATCTTCAAAAGAAAAATTAGTATTACTGATTTGTTTTGTTTTACATACATCACTAAAAAGTTTAACAATAGCATTAAATAGTTCAAAAGTTGGTATACCAGTAATGGAATTTAGTTGGGATTCTGTCTTAATGAAATTACGTATATTTACCAAAAATTCTGCAGTGGATATTTGTATGCCAACTGATCTGTGACATTTTAAATTTTTATCATAATTAGAATTGCATAACATTAAAAGTGTTTCAGCAGCTTCTCTATCATTAATTTCAGACTCAATTGCATGGGAAGTTTCTTCTATTTGTTCTCTATCACTGATTTCTGACTCAATTGCATGGGAAGTTTCTTCTGTCTGATACGTTTTTTCTGAAAACTTATTTCTTTTAATTCTTTTAGAACATGTTTTTGTACAAATACTGCTCTCTGGTAAAAGTAAACTTGGTACGGCAGTTTTCTTTAAATGTCTTCTTTTACATGCATATGCTAAAGTATAAATAAGAATTATTTCACAATTTGAATAGAATTACATTTTATTGAAGATAATCCTATAGTATAGGTTAAAAATGAATACAAATACTAAATTACTTTATATTTAGACTCTATGCAATCTTTTTCAGTTTGATTTTTTAATACTATCGAATTACAATAATCTAAACATATTTATAAAAACATGATAGCATATTTACATGACAAAATATAATCTTCAGGAATAAAATGTTTCGAACATACTAACATATATTTCGTAACTTTTTTGCCAATTCTTAGCAGTCGAATCCACTCTTTCCGTCGGTTACATTCCTGAAATTCTCCGAATTCTGATTTACCAAAAATCATCTGTTTTTCATGTGGGAATACATGAAAACTTATATTGGGATCACGTATGGCTTTGGAATTACAATTTGGAACACAACAGAAAGCTTTACTTTTACTATTCATCTTTACTGTTGACAATATACGAAGAACATTCAAACGACCCAGATAGAGTAGTTCGGTTTTTAAACACTGGAGGGCGAGCATCCGATGAAAACGCGAATAGCCAAAGATTGCAGCGCCACAACACTAGCGAAAATTTAAATTTGTCGACTGGAATTCTTTCGGATGATTGACTTTCGGATAATCGACGCTCTAGTGTATCATTATTTTCTTATGTTTTAGTTTTGTTTAATTTTACTTCGTTATTACACTTATACACTTTTCGTCAATTTTCTTCTTTTCTCAACAATAAATCATTTTCATTTGTGACATACATATTGCTACTCAAACTACTCGCCGAGGCTGAATACTTCGAGAATATCGTCTCGAGTTTTTCGATCTTACCGATATAGTTATAATTTTAGAAAATTGTTTTACATTAATGAAACTCTAATTTAAAACCTTCACGACACGTTTTATTTTTTTCAGATCCATCCAAAGAAGATGTGATAAAGTTTTCCACAACTGTTCGTATAGTTTTTATCATTTAATAATAATTATTTATAATTTTTAATGATTTCTTAAATTTTTAGTATCAAAAAACTTTTCTTGAGCACATTCGAAATGGAACTCTACATAAATATATAGCATTTCCCTTTTCCACGCTCTGTAAGTACAAGAAATTCAGGTAAGAAATAAAAAACAATCTCGTTATAATATAGAATGTGTTTAAGTAACCAATTACCATAATAGTACTTAATTCAGTAGTACATACAACAGCTATATTCAATCACATTTATTAATATAGAAATTATTGTTTTCAAATATACGTGTTACGTATATTACTATATTCGTCAACATAGAAAAATTCGAAAACTAAACCAAATATAAATGCTTAGTGCGGAATAATATAATTGTTTGTTTTCGTTTATATACAGATTTATTTTTAATATATTTAACTCAAGGAAAGAAAAGCTAACTTCATTAGAATTAGACTTCATTTCATGTATACGTTTTAAATACTTTACAGTGTAGAGGACGTAGCTACGTTAATTACAGTAACTTTTCCTAACAGTCGAAAATAGTCTTATATGAGCGACAAATTAAAAGAGATAGTAAAATAGTGTTTCTAACGATAGCTGTTTCATCGAATCCCGTTTACCGGTGCATTATATGAATAGAGTGTAATATACTTTCGAAATAAAGAAATTTTTCGTATGTCTGACCTAGTGTAACAGCTATTCGTTTTATTTTTTAAAAATCAAAACACTACAGTATCGTGCGCGTAAAAATCAAAAACTCCGGTTATATCATCGCTTTTGAAACTGTGATGAGTTTCCATTCACTCCAAAATGTTGTGACTCAAAGTTTTTTCAGTAAAATAAAGTGTCTTATCTCTCGTTTTTTAATTTGAAATATCACTTGTATATAACTAACATATTAAAATTACTGTAAACAAAATTATAATGTTTTGACGTAAGTTCTCTAAAATCATCCGACATCAATAGTATTCTTACGTCACATTTCCATGGATTATTTCGTTATTCGGAAAAATATAAAAATAAAAAGAAATTGGCATTGGAAAACAGTAAACAAAATTTTCACTTTTTGTCTCTTTCACTTATCACACTTTTGTCTTATTTTTTTAAAATAATTTTACGTAATTTATCGTTTCGTAGAGCCACGTAGGTATTTGCGCCATTCATAAAATGTTACTCTTGTATATTTCAATTTAGATGTGAACTTTCCAAACTGAATGGAACTGACTTCGTTGATTTTGTGGAACAAGTAAAAAATGGGGTATGTTAGACAATTCGTATTTGCATAAAGTTTATTATATTCTATACTTTTTTTGTTTTAGTGTAACCTAACAAAATCACCTTCTTTAACTTTATCAAAAGAAAAAAATTAATAATGATAAATTATCGCTAGTTTATTATTAAAAATCATTACATTTTCACTTTTAAAGAGGAAGGAGAATATTAATGCCAATCTTTATGTTGTGCGAAAGTAACTAAATTTAATTTATTACATTTTTTTATTACTAATTTATAAATTTTAAGCGAAAAAATTAATTTATTGTGTTTAACTTTATCTTGAAATTAAAAAAAAATATATATATATATATTTTGTTAAATTACTTTAACTCGTCAGTATATTTATTTCCTGAGCGTGACTGTTGTTCACAAGTAAATAAATGCATTAAGTAATGTTATTTAATAAAATAGTGTGCTACTTTTCGTGTTAATTATAATTGATTTATTTTAAAACAGTTTTAAATTTATTGAAAAGAACATTACAACGATAAAATCAGATTTTGAATTAGGAATTTAAAACATTACAAAGAAAACATAAGTATGAAATCAGCCTCTTTTCTTCTCCGTGTATTTTAACTTCATTAGTTTGTAGTGTATGTCTTTAAAGGATGTTTTCATACAATTTGTTTAAAAGAAAACTGTAGTATTTCTCGGAATTCACATTATTTCAGTTCAAAAATTTCCTCTGAAAAGTGATCAATAAATGTGGGGCACAACAGGATTGATAAAAAACATTGTACAGGAGTAACTCTGTACGAATTTCAAGGTAGAAAGCGTATATTTTACATTAAATAAATAAAAAGTATGATTAAAATTTGCAGCCTCGCATTGTGACAATGTTAAAATAAACATTTTCTCAAATCTATATTATTTTTATTTGCTCTTTACGAAATTATTAGCAGAAACATAATTATTAACATATATCGAAAACTATCGATATTACGTTTTAACAGGACGCTGACATCGTTGATCAGCAACAGATTATTACTGCTTATATGATTGACTTTGTGGAGTTTACTTCAATTAACATGTTCTTCCCTATGCATTTCGTCATTAAAAACAAGAATTTAGAACTTTCCTGGAAATCACTAATTTCTCCTTTCTCTTTTTGGGTAAGTAACGCTTAAATGTTTAATTAATACAAGGTTTTAAATCTTATTTCAAACACAGAAAAACCTTTCATATAAAGGTGTGGCTGGCCATTTTATTCTGTACTTTGGTGGCTGGAATACTCATATTTATAATACTCAGTTACGACAAATCAACAGAAGACAAGAACAAGGGTTGGAATAAAAGAAGATTCGTTTGGTTTCTGTTCGGAAGTTTACTCAATCAAGGTAAGTATCAACGTATAACAAGACAATATTTTTATTT